AGCTCCGGGAGCTTGGTTGGAAGGTTCTTATGCATCCACCTTATAGTCCGGAGCTGGCACCAAGTGATTACCACCTGTTCCTGTATATGGCGAATGATTTTGCTGGTGAAAAATTCGCCTCAAGAGAAGCTTGTGAAAATCGACTGTCCCAGTTTTTTGCCAATAGGGACAAGGGTTTCTATGAGAGAGGCATAATGGAATTACCTTCAAAATGGCAACAAGTTATCGAACAAAACGGTGCATATTTGGCCTAAATCGGATCATTCTAACTATTCTAAATAAAGCCTTCAATTTCATGCAAAAACAATGGATTTCTTTTTTATTTTACCTTATATATATATATATATATATATATATATATATATATATATATATATATATATATATATATATATATATATATATATATATATATATATATATATATATATATATATATATATATATATATATATATATATATATATATATATATATATATATATATATATATATATATATATATATATATATATATATATATATATATATATATATATATATATATATATATATATATATATATATATATATATATATATATATATATATATATATATATATATATATATATATATATATATATATATATATATATATATATATATATATATATATATATATATATATATATATATATATATATATATATATATATATATATATATATATATATATATATATATATATATATATATATATATATATATATATATATATATATATATATATATATATATATATATATATATATATATATATATATATATATATATATATATATATATATATATATATATATATATATATATATATATATATATATATATATATATATATATATATATATATATGTGTGTGTGTGTGTGTGTGTGTGTGTATGTATATAGTATATATGTATATAATGTGTATATACTGTATAAATATATAGGTGTAAATAGATACAAAGAAAATAAATATCTTTATTTAACTATTTCTTGTATTATACATTCGAGATTTACAGAATTATTTGAACATGTTCTTTTCCAATTTGAAACGCAAAGGATATTCCATGTAAATAAATTTGTTTTTACATAATTATTATAAGATAATGTATATATAATAAAATTATCATAAGATACCACACATATACGTACACGTAAATACATAAAAATGCATACAAATATACATTGTTTAATAAATTTTTAAGAATATACAATTACAAAGCTTATCCTAATATTTTACTACATATTTCTGACTAGATATAATAATTATAAATAATTATTAATCTTCCTTTTAAAAAGAGCACATTAAAATTTTAACAAGTTAGAATTGATGGGTGCTGCAGAATTGATGTAGAATTAACTGAGTAATATTTTTGTCATTTGGTTTAAATAAAATTTCTAAATAAAATAAGATGAAAAAGTGGGTAAAGATGCGTCATTATGACAATTTTCTTCACTTTCTGGCATGAAAGTGATATTGTTTGACATGACATCATTAATATCATTTGGCTCGTTAGACATGACATTAATATTAGCGTAATTATTTTGTATTTGTGCAGGATCTGAATTACTATTGCTCTGCATGTGTTCGTATTGCTTCAGATTGTCTAATTGCGACTCTTGCTGAAGATAAGTAGTGTCTAATTGCGGACTCATGGTGTAATTGGTTAGAAGTGAAAATGGCTCTGAATGAAAACTTTGCTGTTATTGACAATTGTAGGATGCACTCGATAAGACGTATAAGTGTTGCGGTTGTGTTGCGGTTGCACTAGAATAATTTTGTTGCTTGAATTGTTGCTGATCGTTGCTGATTGTTGCTGATTTTTGCTGATTGCTGCTGACTGCTGCTAATTGCTGCTGATAGTTGCTAATTGTTGTTGATTGTTGCTAATTGTTGCTGATTCCGTGACTTGGTGTTGCAGATAAATTGTGCTGTAAATACATAAAAATACATACAAATATACATTGTTTAACAAATTTAAGAATGTACAATTACAAAGCTTATCCTAATATTTTACTACATATTTTTGACTAGATATAATAATTATAAATAATTATTAATCTTAGATTTGAGGCTTTCACGGCCATTGATACAATGTCTAGATATAACTTCCGGAATGGAGCCGTGTCTTGAATCAGCGATATGCCGACGTTTCGCAAACGTTACAGTTTGCATAATCAGGGCTGAGAACTCTGATACTGAGCTCCCTTGGGTAAAGGTAGTCCTTATATGCCCCCCCCCTTTGTGTAGATGGTGTTTTTTAGGGAGTAGGGGACGAGGCTTGAATCCAGCCAATCAGCGTATTTTAATTGATCAGCTGGTCAATTAAAAAACCGGGAGGGCAGTATACCAAATAGAGTTTACTTGCATACCTTTGTCTCGGTTGAGGTTGTTGGGATGTTTCAAAATATCTAGACCTTCACGATGTTTTCTGGCAAAATAACTCTGTGAGGGAGCCAATCTGGTGGCTTTTTCATATTGCACGGAGTGTCCAGTCTCCATCCAGTGTTCAGCTAGGGCTGATTGAGTAAAGTGACCATACTTGGTACATCGCTGGTGTTCCTTGATTCGCGTACTGATCTTCCTCCCGGTTTCTCCTATATAAACTTTACCACAAGAGCAAGGGATCTTATATACACCTGATGTTTCTAGGCATGATTTCTGATCCTTCGGATTTGGGAGTAAATGGGAGAGCTTCCTATGAGGTTTGAAGATTACTTTGATTTTGTGTTTACCCAAAATCCTGCTGATAGGTTCTGTTATGCCCTGGAGATATGGAAGGACAGCCGTTTTTCTCTTTTCTCTCTCTTCATCTAGTGTGTCAGTGTTTTTAGGACTGACAATTCTGTTCTTCTGGTTTTTTATTATTTGCGAGATGTTTTTGCTGTTGTATCCATTTTTAGTTAAGGCTGTACTGAGGTGTTCTAGTTCTCCATTCAGAGAAGATGGTTCCGAAATTGTGAGCGCTCTGTAAACCAATGAACTTATGACAGAATTCTTTTGCGAGAGATGATGATGAAAGGTTGCATGTAGATATCGGTCCGTGTGTGTTGGTTTTCGGTAGACCTAGTGACCTAAGGTGCCATCTTGGTTCTTTTGGACTAGCACATCCAGGAAGGGTATTTGATTATTTTGTTCCACTT